ATGCCAAGCTCTTCCATTTTAATTCATCGAAACATGCTCTCATGCTAAGCTTGTATATTCTCTGTACAACATGAACTCTTTCCGGAGCCATCTCACACCATTCCATCAGCTGCCGTATGTTTTCCACCAACTGCTGTATGTCACTGCCAGGAATTCCATCTTCTTCAAACATCTCCTCCAGCACTACTCCACTTCAAGAGAAGCACTTCCAATACAACAAAATCGAGCAAAATCATTCAAGAACCTGTTATACATCAAAACCTGCAAGGAGCCACTGAAGATGACCATAATATTCCCTAAGAATCAGCATTCTTTCGGGATATCTTGGGGCCTAGTCCTCGAACCCAGGCAAAGGGGCAATGTCACTCTCTCTTTACAGCGGCCCAAGTCCATCTAGAGCTGTTGTAACAAAAAGACCCCCACACTTTCAATTTACAACCAAACAATATATATTTGTATATGCTCGTATGGGATGAGTGGAAGATTGTGCTGAAATCAACAACCCTTGCTTGAGTTTCAATGGATTGATTTGCAAATTTCATTGAGAAATAAACAATTGATGAAGTCATACAAGTGCAAATGTGAAAAGTGAAAGAGCTACGTGTGGCTTGATCCCTCGATAAGGGTACGTAGGCAACCTAGGTTAACTTAGGTGCAATATGATAATACCTGTAGGACGACTAAGAAAAGCCTAGAGGGGGGTGAATAGGCTTATTCAAATTTATTAGCAATAAATAACAATAGACTTTAGAAGCAGGATAAGCAGGATTGATATGGGTTATCAATCCTGAGATGTGCAGTGCTGAAAGTAAAAGAACACGCAGATGTTTATTTTACGTGGTAAAACCCCACCTCTGGGGAAAATCCACGGGACTCCTTAGTCCAGAACAAATCCACTATAGAATTGAAATTACAAGAGGTACTCACACATTTATCCTAGACTCAATCTAGATAAAGTTTACCGACTTCTGTGTAATTCAACTTCTGTCACGGGATGATCTTCAAAGCTCCTTACGTTGAACGCAATACTGGTCACGATTGCTTCAAACTCACCGGAGGATAAACGTCACAATGATTTTGGTGCCCTCAACCATATGAGTCACCGACATGCATATGTATGCAATTATGAATGATGAAAAGATTCAATAAATCACCAAGCAACCAAAGAGCACTTGATGATTTACCGAGGAAAATAAAACACAGCAGCTTTTGCACTCACAGATTCAATATACTCTCAAAATTAAAACATCAAAAGCCCGTGAATGAAAGGAGGAAGGAACGTTTTATGCAAGGCAGGTTTTCTCTTCAATTAGAGAAACCTGCGTGAAGACAACTTCTATTCCACACAAACTTTCCAACCTACTCAACTATTACAACCAAACCTCATGCAATATGAACACTTGTTAAACACGTCAAATAGGAGACCAATAATATCATTGAAGCATGCATATCAGTTTGGAATCAATTAAGTAGAAAATAGAATCAAATAGGAAATAATAAAGTAGGAAACAATATCACACGATAAAGCCTAATCCCATAACAAAAAGGATTAACATAAAAATACTTGTGAAGATAATTTCAACTAGGAGTCCTATAATGAATGTATGATTATGTTGTGATTTACCTGTTGTCAAGTTTCTCATATGGTCAAGTGAGCCTCGGAAGTATGGGATTGAAAGAGTTGAGCCAAAACGTCCAGTGACAATTCTTTACAAACTAACTTTCAACCTATACTAAAGTCTAGGAAATGCCAATACAAAAATTCGTACTAACACAATCGCAAAATAAACTGTTGAACTATGTTTTGAATTGGTCTAGTTGTAACCCATTGTAATTGAGCAAAATATGGATTACCGTTAATTCTCGTTTTATAACAAGGTGAATGCCAGTGCTTTGTTTATGTTCTGAACCACTGTTGAATTGAGTATGGATAAAATTCTTGTATGAACGTTTGAGATTTTAGAATTGTGTTATTTACAAGTAGAAAGTTATTGGGAAAAGAGCGAATTACAGGGGAGACTCTGGCGAATTTTCGGCAGAAGTCAAACCTTAAAAGAAGTTTGAGTCAAAGTTAGAGGGGTAATTTGGTCAAGTGTGCCCAGCACTTGCCAGGTATTGGGCACGCACAGGGTTTGGCTCATATTCCAAAGTGGAATTTGGGTCGGATCCTGTCATCAATGCTACTCTCAATTCTGTGTTATATCACAGCTGCAAAAGTGGATTTGAATGAAATGGTAAAGACCACAGTTTAACATGAACCTCTCTATTCATTACTTTCTTAGACCTCCTAACGGGCTACTGCCTAATGGATTCCTCTCTAATTACCTGCACCATCTGTTTAAACTGAGGATTGAGGAAGAAGACCGCCAAAGTAAAGGCGTGGATGGGCTGGGTTATCTAGGTGGTATCTTTTTCTCTCCTAATTCCCAGTTGGGTTACAGCCCACGCCCACCCCACACAGGGCTTCGGCAAAAATTAATTGACAATGGATGGAGAACTCTCAAATCTTTAAAGCACTATTGCAAAGCTTCCATCTTCCAATCTAGGATGCTCTCAACAGTTATTGTATATGCAATGATCATGAAATCGGCCAGCAATCAAATATCAATTCCATACACCAAATTACAAGTACCTTATTATTACGAAAAGTTCATAGGGTAAGACCAATGTCATTACATGCCAAACTGAAACGAAAAGTGATCGTCAACTTCACACTCAAACTAGGTAATTAATTAAGGGAAAAGGTAGTGTCTGAGAAAATATTGCGTTGCAAAGTTGCAGAACAGAAAAAACATCCCAACATCGATCTCACATGTCCTCATCATCTGTTGTAAGACTTGTATATTCATCATCATCAGCAGTCTTGGCGGGTATAGGGCGGATCACAAAGCAGCGGCAGTTGCAGCAGGACATGCACAAAGGACTACAAGTACCATATGTAAGAACACAGAGTTAGGGCTTAGCATAATCAATTACCTTTACCAACAAGAAAAAAAAAAGAGTTGAGCTTTGAATTTGCCTCATTAATTGCATTATTAATTTTTCCGATTAAAAATAATTTGATTCAAACTCACCACCACCCTAGGCAGGTGCATAAGCCACAGAGGCAACCAAGGTAAATGCAGCACCACATTAGGCACGACGGCAGTGGCTGATTGTACTCAGGTATAGCCATCTCGGATCTCTCTCTCTCTTCAAGTGTTGAAGATCACTGGCCTCCTTCTGGATCACTGAAAATGCAATCTGTATATACATACACTGCTCATTATTTATAGGTTCACACTTTTTAACATACAATCTAAAGTTGGGTGTTAACTCTGAAAATATAACACACTGCGGATTATTATTATTATTTTTGCCCTGAGACTACTTATTTGGATCGATATGCTAACTTTTCTATATAAAAAAAAAAAAAAAAAAATTGGGTCTTTTTTTTTGGTAAAAAAATTAGGGTCTTACCTGCTGATTTAATTAAATCTTACTTTGCCTGCACCAAAATTAAGGATAGTTAGGTGATGTATTAGGTTGCTATTTGACTTAATGTAATACTATTTTAGTTCGAGTAATTAAATATGTAAGACAAGGACCAAAAAGCGTAATTAATAAATCCAATAAGGCTGAGATGATTCTATTTAAATTAGTTACTTGACTTGACTAATTAGTTCACATGTGGCCTTGGTCATTTTTAATTTTAGATGGGAACGTCCGGAAAAAATTTAGATGTGAAAGGTCATTTTTAATTTAAGGACAATTAGGTGATCCCTTTAGCGACTCCATTATCAGTTCAAATAAACTAGTTAGGCACACGGCTAACTTAATTATTTCAGTTCAAATAATACTTCAATAAGACTCTCAGATGCTTTTGTTTAAATTAGTTACTTGACTTAAATAGACTTGTATTTTTAATTTTGGGGGCGATAAATTTCCTATACAATGTTGAAGTTTTCGACTAAAAAATTTCCTTGAACAAGAAAGAGGGAGGTCGGAGGTGGTTTTCTGGATCGATTTCTGCCCTCTTTCTCTTCTCCCTCACTTTCACCGGCTCTTATAATATTACAGTAGGGCAACAAAAAGGAAAAGTGAATATAGTACCAATCAAGAAAAATGGCATTATCTGGGCGCATGATTAGGCCAATGATCACTGGTAAGTAATTAGACCTAAACACCCTTCCTTTGAGTCACTATTTTCTTGTAATTTCTGACCAAAAACAAAATGCAAACATGTTTTTGAATTTCTCTTCTTCTGCTATCTTGATGAATTGCAGCTCTGCTGTCGGCGGATGCAGTTGCCCAGTATGCCATGACGCTGATGATTACATATTTAATTGGTGTATGGGATCTCAGTCTCGCGCACGCTGCTGCAATTGTCAACTTGTATTCAGGCATGGCGGCCATAATCCCACTCGGCCTTCAATTTATTGTGCATGCTTTCATGGGTGACTATTGGATGCTCCTGCTCTCCAATTTTGCCTACATTGCTGTAAGTTGTTTTTTTCCTTTTCTTTTTGTTTTGCTTGAAGCGTTGACGGAGCCAGCATAATAAGCCTAGGATAGGATGGTCAGCTTACCCTTTGACTGACTGGATTATCTACATGTAGGGTTGTGTTCTTTTGACAATGTCCACACCACCAGTCCTGGCTGGGGTAACAGGCACTTGCAGCGCATACGAGCCCGAGTGCGTTGGCCAAGTACAAAAGAAACTCCTTTACACAGCATTACCTCTAATTGCAGTGGGAACTGCCGGTACCTCTATCTCCAGTGCGAGATTCTGCCGCGTGCAGACGCTGGAACCTCGAGACTGGTGTAAGATCATCGCCTACTCAGCCGCCACATCCATCCCCGCCGTAGCCGCGATTATTTCCCTTGATTATATAAGCCCCTGGTTGGTGAAGTTTGGGATCCCGGCCATCTTTGTGGTGGTAGGAACCCTCATATTCTTGAGCGCTTCTTTTGCATACAACCGTCCTGATGCACCGGGTGTCCCGGAAGAAAGCGTGCGCATGGTGTGCATGGTTCCCTTATGCCTGTTATTTCTCATGACCGGCATTGTATCTGCTATTGGAAATACTTACTTCATCGAAGCAGCAAGCCACATGAACGGAAAGATTTGGGGCATAAAGACTACTGTTCTTTTCTTTCCATTTCTGTTCAACCTTTCCAGATCCAATGCCAAGGCAATTTGGCACAACTGTGATCCCGGAGTTGGGGTTCTAGTAGCATTGGTAGTTGCAATTCTGTGTTGTATCACAGCTGCAATAGTGGAGACCTTTAGGTTAGCGGTGGTTAAGAGCCACGGGTTAATTGACTTGCCGGACGCAACAGTCCCTATGAGCAGGTTTTGGTTGGTTCCACAGTACGTTTTCCTCGGCGTCGCTGATGGGCTGTTCGAGCTGAGCATTGTGCGTTTCTACATTGCTTTTGTGCTTCAGTGGCCAATAGATGCCAACCTTGAATTGGTGGAGCAGGGCCAAGATGATCCCAGGCGTCAATACGTTCCTCTCTTTGCTAAAGCTATCTCTGGAGTGGGAATTCTATTCAGTGTGTTGTCTGTTCATGTAGTGGGTGAGATAAAGCCTGCTTGGTTCCAGCACACGCTAAACACAAGTCGTTTGCAGAATTACTATTGGACCTTGGCCGCACTGACTTCCGGTAATCTGGTGATTACTGGTTTAGTGTTTTTAGCGTGTGTTTTGGCCTCTAATTCGTCGGAGGATTATCAGCGACTGAGGTAGAGCTTCGATTGATATCCTATCTGGTTGCCTAGCTCGCTAGCTAGTCTGGGAGGACCCTTTGGTTGGATCTCTTCTTTGTTCATTTCGTTTATATTTGTTATGTTGGGTTGAGGCCCATTTTCCATTTCCGTATTTGTAAGCTTGAGGTTTTTATCTTATGCGAATCCCATATAATATGTTGTTTCAAATCAAAATATTAATTGTCAAGTATTTGTTGTTATTTTTTTTTTTTTAAAGATTCGAGGAATTAAGCTCATGGTTTTAACTTAAAAGATTTCGGTGTAATTAGTAATGGAGATTATTGTTGTATTAATATCCGAGTCAACTACACCAAAATTGTTGTATTGGTGGCCTTGTATAGTCTGCCAACCCCGATTTGTAACCCATGCTTAGGCGCGAGACCGTTATATAGTTGCATAACCACAGCTCATATTGTGAGATGGCTAGCTGCATATAAAAAGGGTATTTTATTATAGTAAAATGCATACACTCTTGAAAGGCCAAAAAAGAACTAACGAGATTGGCGTCATCTTGAATGTATGCCTACCTGCAATATGGAAAAGATTTGGTTCGATTCAAATTATTTGTTTGAGACTTTAGAATCCTTACAATAACAACAATTGGATACAAAACTGGCCATAAATCTTATTTTTGTTTTCTCATTGACAATTGCCCACACAAACATCAAACCTCCAATTGTGGGAGTAATTATAGTGTAGTACGGTGGTAGATTTTGTCTCACAACCAGAAGTCGGCAAAGGCTTGGAGGCTCTTTAAGTCCTCTTGTAAGGTCCGACAAGTAAAACATAAAGTTTATTTTTTTTGAAAATAATAATACGGGTTCTTACAAGAATAATCAAGCCAAAGGTTAATTCCTATTTATTAGTACACCAAATTCTTGTTTGGGAACCAATGGAAATTTTATTTAGCCAAACCATAACTTAATTACAACACTACTACATTTTAGCCCTTGCGCGACGGTTTTTTGCGCGACGGAGGATAAATCGTCCCACATAGATATTTTGCGCGA